ATATATATATATACATACACACATATATATATATACATACACACATATATATATATACATACACACATATATATATATACATACACATATATATATATATATATACATACACACATATATATTACAAACACACACACACACACAGGCCACTTTATTAGGCACACCTGTTCAATTGCTTGTTAACACAAATAGCCAATCAGCCAATCACATGGCAGCAACTCGATGCATTTAGGCATCTCGACGTGGTGAAGACGACTTGCTGACGTTCAAAGTGAGCATCAGAATAAGGAAGAAAGGGGACTTAAGTGACTTTGAACGTGGCATGGTTGTTGGTGCCAGACGGGCTGGTCTGGGTATTTCAAAAACTGCTGATCTACTGGGATGTTCACACACAACCATCTCTAGGGTTTACAGAGAATGGTCCGAAAAAGAGAAGATATCCGGTGAGCTGCTGTTGTTTGCACCAAGATGCCTTGTTGATGTCAGAGGAGAATGGGCAGAGTGGATGGAGATGATAGAGAGGCCACAGTAACTCAAATAACCACTCGTTACTACCAAGGTATGCAGAACACATCTCTGAACGCACAACACGTGGAACCTTGAAGCAGACGGGCTACAGCAGCAGAAGACCACACCGGGTGTCACTCCTGTCAGCTAACAGGAAACTGAGGCTATAATTCACACAGGCTCACCAACATGTGACAATAGAAGATTGAAAAACGTTGCCTGGTCTGATGAGTCTCCATTTCAGCTGCGACATTCAGCTGGTTGGGTCACAATGTGTCGTAAACAACATGAAAGCATGGATCCATCCTGCCTTGTATCAACGCTTCAGGCTGCTGGTGGTGGTGTAATGGTGGGGGGATATTTTCTTGGCACACTTTGGGCCCCTTAGTACCAACTGAGCATGGTTTAAATGCCACGGCCTACCTGAGTATTGTTGCTGACCATGTCCATCTCTTTATGGCCACAGTGGACCCATCTTCTGATGCTACTTCCAGCAGGATAGTGCACCATGTCACAAAGCTCAAATCATCTCAAACTGCTTTCTTGAACATGACGATGAGTTCACTGTAGTCCAATGGCCTCCACAGTCACCACATCTCAATCCAGTGCAGCTGACAAATCTGCAGCAACTGCATGATGCTATCATGTCAATATGGAGCAAAATCTGTGAGGAATGTTTCCAACACCTTGTTGAATCTCTGCTACGAACAATTAAAGCAGTTCTGAAGGCAAAAGGGGTCCAACCTGGTACTAGCAAGGTGTACCTAATAAAGTGGCCGGTGAGTGTCGATTGTAACGAAGGAATTAGTTAGTCGTCCAATCAGGATAAAGTATTAAAGTATTAATTAACAGCAGGTGTGTTCATCTAGCAGCTCTGTTGACATGTCATGGAGCACATCACAAATATTCACTTTAGATTGTTGTAAAACCAGTTGGCATAATTTGTGCTATGGGGGATAAACAATGGAAAAGCTTAAATTGCACGTTTGTCTGAGACTTACTGACTCCATCCACCTCCGAGGACCCAGAGCCCCTCATCCTGAGGTACATGAGGCCCAGCAGCAGAAAGAAGAGGCAGGCCGCCGTGAGCAGGAACATGGACAGGTAGTGAGCACTAAAGCTCCCAGAGCAGGCCACCTCGTCCCGTTTAAACTGCTGCAGCAGCTCATCCTCCGGGACAGACAGCGTCTGCTTCAGCACCGCCTGGCTGTACGAGTGGTTGGAGTGGTTGCTCCTGTAGGTCTGGGACAGACTGCTGTAGTTGGAGAAGCGCGGTCTCAACCCGATGGCGAACCTACTAGTGCTGCCACTTCTGGAGGCTCCGTCCTCGCCGTCGACGTGGTTGTTTTTGCCAGCCTCTCCTCCGTGGTTCTCGGCGAGGGACACGTAGATGGATTTCCTGGGAAAGTTGTGGCTGCGCAAGCCTCCGGACGGGTCCGAGCCCGTTCTCCTGACCTCGTCTTCTTCACCCTCCTCCCTCCGGCTCCCCACCATATTTAGACTATCGGGCGGGTTGACTTGTCTGACTGCCCCTCCCGTCTGAGACCCTCGGCCCACTCCGTGGGAAGGAAACCCCGCTTTCGGGTGGCTCCGTCTAGGCTCCAACCTATCCCGCTGTTGGTCTCCGACACTTAGGCCCACAACCTCCTCCTCGTCCGAGTCTGAGTAATCCCCAGCTAGCTTGCTAGTGTTTAAATGAGACGCCCCGCAGCCATTTAAAGAGCGAGAGTTCTTCTCCGTTTCCCCCTCATAGTCGTCCTCGTCCCCCGACTCGTCGTAATCCCTCCCTCCCGCCTCAGGGCTGGATCTGGCACGAACTCCCCAGCCCAACGAGACACCTCTCTGTCCGCCCGGACCCGGGGAAGAATTGTTGATATTCAGCGTACTCGCAGCGCCATACTGACTCTTGCTAGCCACTCTTGGTGTTGTAGCGGGCCTTATCTTCGGTTGCTGTGGAAAACCGGAGCTCCGGTCTGCCTTACTGCTATGATTGAGGCCTTTTCTTTTCAGTGGAGTTTCGGCGTCAGATTCGTCGGAGCTGAAGCCGAGGACGGAGGACTTCCTGCCCGGTCTCCTGCTGGAGCTCAGGTGCGTGACGTCATGGCTGGCTGGCCTGGATCCCGCCGTGTTGCCTCCGCCAGTGGTGCTCTTGATGGCCCCGCTGCTCCGGGTTTTACCCGGCCTGGAGCCTCGCAGCTGTTGCTCTTCACGAAGCTTTTTCAATTTCTTCAAATATACCGGGCGAGTGTTTTCGGTAACCGGGCCTGGAGTGAAACCAAATCGCTTTAATTCGGAGAAAAGCTCCTCATCCGTTAACTGCGTTGACGCCATCTTGGACAAAACTCTCGGAGATGGTAGTGTAACGGAAATGACGTTAGGTTGAAGCGGTAGTAGACCGACTGTGCTGCGTTCACAATCAACAGCAAACTGTTTGTAAATTGTATTGCTTAAATGGTCATACGGGATTATCTCAGATATACAACCTTTCCCAGTACACATAAAGAATGTTAGTCCTGGTGTGACTCTATAGCTAATGACTCTGGGCAAATGGCTCTGCAGTAGATGAACAATACATAGATAATATGTGTGGAACTCAGATTCAGCGCCAAACACTTAGCGTGTCTTTCATGCAAACGGTTATTTCCTGCAAAATAAGTGAAATACACTGTACAGAAATGTACAAAACAATATATCCCACCAAGTCTTACATCTCGAGATTTGAAGATGTCACCAACAAATGTAATTTTCGTAAAGATGACGAAGACACAATAAAATATTTACTTTATGAATATTCATATACTACAGTGTTCTGGGGGAAACTTGAGGATTTGTTTTTGCCAACCAAACAAACCAGAGATATTATTTTATATTCTGAAAACAAGAACTTAAATACAACAGATTGTTTACTTACTTACCTTATTGGGAACATCCATAAGTCCAACCTTTCTGAGTTTCTCCATCTATTAAGCTATTCATTTTTGTATTTGGAAATTACATTGAGTCTGTTGAGTATATTAGTAATACATGTGCAATTACAATTGGTCCACTTCAGGAGTTTTCTGCACCCTATTGTTCAATAATTTGTCTCACTTGTATTTTTTTATTTATTACTCGTTATTATATTATTACTTTTGTATTAGCAGTAGTAATATTTATCCCCTTATATCTTCTATCTGTACGAGTTAATATGTTATCTTAGTGTTTTATTTTACATTTCCTGTCTTGATTTAACTCGATGTGTAACTATAGCCTGTAGGGCTGAAATGGATGTCTGCTTTTTGGGTCACCCATATTGTGTGAAACCCCTCCACTCACAGGTCCAGAACCAACATGTAGGCTAGGTGGTGTGCAGGCAGCTCTTTTGAGGTACCTGTGCTGGACCATCAACACCACCAGCCATTGAAAAGCAGTTCGTTGACATTAATCTCATGAGGGTACTTCACTCGGGTAGTCTCCCAGATACTTTTTCCTTTTAAAACTTCCACAGCAATACACGTTGCAGCTAATCTTCTAATTGGGTTTGTGAGCTGAGTTTAGTAAAGGAATGCTCTCAGCTTCATGGCTTTATTCAACCATTAAAGCTTCGGTCGCAGACGTAACTTTGTAATAGGATCAACAGTATTCACCTTTAAGTCAGTATTTCATATTTTTGAAGCATGTCGTTACATCTTCTACCTTCTTTTCGGGAATAGGATCAAATTCATCTGCAAGGTTCAGAAGAAAGAAAGAAATCATTCTGGTAAAGCCATTTGTTTCTGCTGTTAGGCGGCAACAGGACAAAACCAACGTGTAGCTAAAAGATGTGCCAGCAGAACTCCAACCAACAAAACAAATCCACACATCTTAAACCTCTCGGTTACATTTCCCATTCGGGAAAATATTGGAATCTTTATTGTGACATGACTGACAGCTCCATAAAGAATGTTTAACAACAGTTTACGGCAGTTAAAGGGGCAATCAATCATAAACCATAATCAATACAACACAATGACTGTAAGACATAAATCTGCTGTTAGCCCACTACAAACCCAACTCGCATCTCATTAAGACATGCACGACTGTAGTCTGAAGCTGGAAAACGTTCCATGTGCTCCATTTATTGACTCATTCAATAGGAGCAGTTATAGCAAATGTCTCCATAACAATTATCCATATCCCGATGCTCGAGATTACTCTACAATCACATAGTATTTATCTAAACCCTCAACATTCAAAACTTTATTAACCGCACTACTTCAGTACGCCGATACATTTACACCATTGAACTATGTACAATCACACATCAATAACCCCAGGCATGCGCTGCATTAAACGGAATAGACATTGTGCATCATGAGAGGTGCAGTGATACTGATGGAACACAAACTACTCGTGTTTGACAACATTCAACAATAAATTCAGTTTGAGAATAAAATGACAAAAAGGTGCAAAACCCCAATGAGCAGTACTGTTGGGAAAATGTACTCTCTAATGCCTCACAATATTATATATAATATATATACATTTACATGTAATATATGTACATGTATACACTCAGTTGCCAGTTTATTAGGTACACCTTGTGAAAGTGCTGCAATAAATCCCCTTTGTTGTTATAATGTTGGATTTCTATTGGAACAGCTGAAGAGAGCTGGAGATTCAGCGCTCTGATCATTTTGGAGGATGTAGTTTGTGATGCTCTGTGTGATGGGACCATTGCTAGAAGGTCTTTATCTTCTGTACTGGGACTATTCCTCAGTGAAACGGAATATTTGAGCGCTCTACAGCGCCAATAGGGATTTAAATCAAAGCCTTCTCATTTGATTGGACCGCATAGAAGTGGGCGGGCCTAGAATGTAGCCATACAGAGCTAAAGAGGACTGCGGCTCCACACACACCTCCTTCGTCACTAACAGTTCCAGATTGATTGATTGATGTCATGATGTTATTGGTTCAAACTGGTTGGTACTAGCATACGTAAGCAAAAGTCATATCGAGTTTTACGGGAAGGAAAGTTAATTGGATTCTGATATCAAAATTTGAGGAACAAAAATGCTATTCCAACCTTCATGAAGCTAAGATGTATTGCAGGACTCGTGTGTTAGACTGCATTAGCTCAGTGTTCCTAAGATGAGCTGAAACTAATGCAACTGAGTGTATATCACATGTGCAATGTATATGTTTATAATAATAGTAGTATATTACACAAAAAGTGTCAAAAGCACAAGGAGAGCTGCAAATAAGCCAGCTGGGGGTGCTAGTGGGCTCTATATCCAATCATGTGGTGTACCTTTAGGTCATTGAGCTCTTTCATAATGTCATGAGTACATTTTGGTTTCAGATCAAAGCAAACATCACTGATATAGATCTAATTAACCTCTATAGCCCTAGCCCTATTTTTAGCCCTCTGCTCGAAAATTGCATACCCATACTCAAGAGTCTCCAGCTCTAACTACAAGGTCTATTTTAATAATTTTTATGCTAGAATACTGGTAACACTTGTGAGATGTGTTGAATTGTGTAAATATTGTGTATATGTTACTGGTTAATAACTGATACACTTATGGCACAGCTCAAATTGAAAAAGTTCCAGGTTCGCCTGAAAAAAAGCACTTGTATTGAACAGTTTTTTTTTTTTTTTTTTAAATAATGCCTGGCTTGGCCTAAAACCACGCCACAGTCAGAACAACACGTTTTACATGTCCCCACAACATATTTTACTTCGATTGAGTGAAGCAGGCCAGCATAAATGGTCATAAAAATCAAAATTTTGATTTTCGGAACCAGCTGTTGCATTGCTGTATACTCATTTTATATACTATATAACTAAATATTAACTATATATTTTCTTATCACTAAGAGTGTTCAATAATCCTAATAAAGCAGTTTCACACCATTTTGAATAATTTTGAGCAGTTATGTGTCATATCTGTCATTCATAACAATAAATGGCTCATAATGTGTGTCTATGTGACCCTGGTAAGGCCTGTGCTAGGCCGATTTACTCATGCGAGAGCTTTTTAGATGCGTAATAGTCCAACGTGAGCCATGCGGGGGTGTTTGAGAATCTCTGTGTCTGTTTACTGACTAAAAATCGCAAAATGCCGGGCGAACCCCCCCCTCTACATGGATTGGTCCACCTCACAGAGTCGGGTGCCATTTTGCCATTCATTCTCCAAGCGGACTGATCTCACTCACAGACATGGAGCAGGATCTACAGCGAGCAGCTGCCCCAAAATCCGCTGGAATATATCCGTTTTTCATCACCGAAACCATCAAAACCTAATTTTTTATCAAAACCATAACTTTTGAACGGTTTGAAAGAGAGTAATTTCGACGCCGCTGTTCGTTTCCGGGTCGAATCACCAGCCTGCTACATGTGCTCATCCGCCATGTGCGATCCTTGCTTCGTGATGAGAGATCATACAAAGAGAACAGTTCGACGATTTTTGGCCAAAATTGTGGCAAATCTTTTAGATATCTTCCAGATATGATATTAGTTCATGTATAATTGTGTTTGCAGTGTTTACAATGGCTGGCATGACGATGTTGCTCTGACTTTTTCTGTTAATTCGATATTTAATATGTCTGGAGCATTTTTGATATTTCTTAATAAAAAGTCCATTCGGAACCACAGTACCACTCTAAACGGTCTCGCACGAAGCCCAAATTGGCGTCGCTCGGGCTAAAGAGGTTTTAACTGAATACAAAAGGTCAACTAGCAACAAAGAGTAGTCGGGTGAGATAAACAGAAGAACGTCGTTAAGACGCCCGTGGACAGTTTCCTCTCTAAAATCAGGGTGATCAAACACGTGTGTGGGCTTTTGCAGTGAGCTGAGTGAAGCGGCTTTCAGTGCTTCTTCATGGAATCCAGGAGACGCAGGATGTGCAGGAAGAGGTTGACAATGTCCAGGTAGAGGTTGATGGAGGCCAGGATGTGCTCCTCGGGTGAGAGCTGCTTCATCAACAGGTGGGTGTCGTAGATGATGAAGCCACAGAAGACCAGGGCCCCCGCTCCAGACATGACTAGCTCGGTGCTGTCGCTGTTGAAGAAGAACTGCAGGGAGAAGAACAGTCAGCATGAAGGGGGGGTTGAAGGGTTCTCCGTGAAGTGGTATCCGAGCAGAGGGACTTTACCTGCTACATGGAGTGGCTATTTTAAGAGATGGAATATCAGACTTAGTCAGTAAACGGCCTCAAGTATGTCGACAATCGTGTTCCACAGCTTCCACATTTGGGCGGGGCAATTCAGCAAAAAGTTATCACGGTTGACATCATGAGACTCCGACCTCATTTTAGTCACGTCCCTACGTTCTATTCATCTATTGCTTCATACAGGCTTCTGAAGTACAACAAGGATTCTACCATTACATCAGTGGCAGCTTTCAGTCAACACGATGCAGGACAAAGCACAGCTAAACACTGA